CTCTGGATGCCGTGAGGAAGGAGATAGCCATCCTCTGCACTGCTGGCCTGGCAAACCCCAACCTCAGTAAGTGGTAGTAAGTAACAAAGCAAAGATCTTCTGGGAAAAGAAAAATGAGGCTGTGGTTTTTCTAATGGACTCAGCTGTCACTGACCTCTTCGTGGAGAGCGGCTGCATTCAAGGCTTGCAAAGTAGAAGGCTTCAACAGGATGTGAAAGTTGAAATGATAAAAGGGGGTGACTGCAAACATATATCACAGGGAAGCATTTTTCTGCATCTAAGTTGAAAATCAGACCTTCAATTGGTGACTTGTCATTTTATATCATACTCCACACAACCATCGTACTCCTGCCTGTGGAGCTGGGATTTGTGTGAATATGCAGTAGCACAGAAAACTGGATAAACAAGGTTGTGGCTGTGCTAGGGTCACAGTCAGAGTGGGAATATGTATGTGACGTATGTGGGCTTTCCATGATTTCTCTGTGTCATTTGGCTTTTCCGACCATAACTTTGAGGCTCAAGCCATGTTCTAGACATTTCATTGTGTTGCACCTATATGATCTCCTGTGCAGTCATTAGATTTAAGGCCTTGACATAATGGCTTCATCGTTACAGGAACTGGGCTGAAATTGATACAATAACAACTATGAAGAGCGACCTGAGGGTTATATCTAAAGCTCACTGTCCACTCCTAATGGCTTCTGCACTCCAAGCCCACAAGGCTGGGATGGGGGTCTCTTTCCCAGAACAGAACACCATCAACTGCCATCATTCCTGAGCAGCGGGGAGACCCACCGGGATAATGTCTCTGAGCCCTCTGGTGCTCACTGGTGTACTGTATAGTGGACACAACAGCATATATGTAGCTTTAGAGACAGAGGGTTCAAGTTCTTGGCCTGAATCCAGCAGGTCTCCATTCCAGATTTTGCTCTTTGCCCCTCATTTCACAGTACAAGCATGTGCAAATTAGTTGATTTTTCTGATTCTACATTTCTTCAAATGTGAAGCTGGAACAATGTCTACCTCATGGAGGTTTAAGAATAAAAATTACTGTACATAAAATGCTTTGAAAAATACAAAGCATTACTGAAATGAACACAGGTATTCAGTTATTAACCATACCACAAAGTATTTTTGTAGAAAAAGTAAAACTTAATTAAATTACATTCAGGTCACTTTATTCATCCATCTGTTTATCCATCCATCCATCCTTCCAATAAAGTTTTATTAGACAACCAGTCTGGGTTAGTCACTGTGTTAGTGGTACTAGATAGATATATGATTGTGAACAACCCAGATACTATTACTCTACATTCTCTAGAGAAAAAAAAACAAAAAAATATGTATAGGAAGAGATTTATTACAAATAACTGGCTCATACAATTGTGAACGTAGCAGGTCCCCAGATCTATAGGACGGGACAGTGAGCTGAAAACCCAGGGGAATTAATGATGTCCTGACTTTCCAATAGCCAGCAAGCTCAAAACTGAGAAAGATCCAGTGTTTTAGCTGGAGTTCCAAGTCAGGAAAAAAAAAATCCAGTGTACCAGTTAAAAGGCAGTGAGGAGAGAAGACTTCTCTTATCTGGGGGATGGTTTGCCCTTTGTTCTACTAAGACCTTCAGCTGATTGGACAGAGCTTGCGACATTGGGAGAATAATATGCTTTCTTGAGTCTATCAGTTTAAATGATCATCTCAGAAAGAAAAGAGTTCATTTCACCTCAAAACTATTGCATGGAACCAACCAGAATAATCACCCTGTGACCTGATCAACTTGATCATCAGTTTTGACCTGATCAGAACTGACCATCACATTTCTTATGGAGCTCAGAGTCTCTTTAGGACAGGAGGAATAGAGCAAACTTATAATCATGCAAATTCATGTAAAATTAAAAGTACAGGCTTCCAGGAGTGAGGAGGATAACAGTGAAAACATATAAAGCTTAAATTCCTAGACTTGGGGCAAAAGTCTTCCAGACAGCAGGAAGTACATAAAAGAAGACCTCAAGACCTTGAAATGTGCAAATTCAGAGATCCAAAAGGCCAATGTGGCTAGACCACAGAAGAGTGTTGATGTTGCCAAATGTTAGTGGAGTTTCAGACAATTCTGGGATTCTGTTACAGTACTGGAAGGCTGGGAAGTTAGGCCCTTGTGGGGAAAGTATAAAATAGCAGTTGGCAGACTGAGAATGAACTGCTAGAGAAATATAGTGAGACTGTTGTGTGGTTCTTTTAAACAGAGGTGCGATAAATCTATAATAATTCTAATTTCTCGCCTTATAAGATACTTGTGTAGGATTTTGTTCAACAGTTTGATGTAGACATATAAATTAATTTTAACATTGATTGTTTTGACTCTCCACTTTATTGGTATGTATGCACATTTCTGCATGTTTATATCCCATAAACTCGTTATTTTTAATAACTATGTAACTGTATAATATTCCACCAATGTATTTCTGGTCCTTCTATATTTTCATGTGGTTTTTACCTCTGTATAGTTTTTGTTTCCTTTTCTTTCTTTTTCTTTTCTTTTTTTTTTTTTTTTTTTTTTTTTTTTTTTTTTTT